CCGGTCTCAACAGTATGTTTTCTAAGTCTCCCTGACTGTATACTTAAGTACTGGTCTCAACAGTATGTATTCTAGGTCTACCTGACAGTACACTTAAGTACTGGTCTCAAGAGTATGTTTTCTAGGTCTCCCTGACAGTACACAACTACTTTAGGAAAATATGTTTAAAAAAAGTCAACCATCAGTAACTGAAGAGTTAAATAATATAGACATCATCAAATAAAGCTTGAAATATTAATTAATCTGATATTAAGCTTAATTCACACACAACCAATTCTATTTCAAGTAAATCATAATTAGTTTAGCATATTTTTAGTACTAGGATCAAAACAAGCAAATTCAGGCTATTAGTAATGTTTTTTTTTTAACTTTGTTACAAAATAAGATTTATTCTGTACCAGTAATAGTTTCAAATAATAGATCCAAAAATATGCTTAAAACATGGCTCAATACGTAGTACGCTAATTTCCAGTCAGTTTAATTTCTTTATACTTTTATCGATTAAAAACTTGAAAAGTTGAAAAAAAAGCATTATACTAAATACATAGTTTAGAAATGAGAAAACATGAGTATTGCCCGTCATTATTAGTAGCCCAATGGCATTATAATATACTGTTGTGTGTTGTTACAAATAGATGTGTTAATTAATCCAAAATTTAACATCCTGTAATACAAGACGGTACTTTGTGTTAGATACTCCCTTAGTGAATATGTAAATTTTAAAATTTATATTTTTCATTTAGTTCAGTGGATGCAGAGTTGTTCAAGTACTTTTCTTACTCTGGCACAAACAAGACTAGAACCTGCTAACTGGCCATTAGGCATGTTCTCTTATTGGAAGACATTTTGTAGTACAGAGTTACCTATTGTGTTGGCAAACCAGGTACTTGCACACCCCCTACACTGGAATGAGTATGGCTCGAGGTCAGGAGGGCAAAGTGCAGTGTAAGAATACCTTTGTTGTGTTTGTATTAGTCTATTTAAATACATAAAGCTAGGTTCTCCTCTGTTATTCTAAGTTTCAGAGGATTTAGAGTTTTCTACACAGTTAGGAATTCTTAGCTTTAAATTAACTGGGTTTTCATTTTAATATTATAATTAACTTTCCTTTTTTTTTAGCTTATGGTGCGGAAGGTATTTCTACAGTTCAACAGATAACAGACTTGCCCTTATTTTGTGATTATCTAGTGTTTATCATTTGATTGTTTTTGTAAATAAATATCGTTGTGCTGGACACCATGTCTACTAATTCTTTCTTTGTTGACAAACTCAGTCAACAGACCTATAGTGTGTGATGATATTCTTGGAACCTCCAGTTAGTAAGTCTAATTGACTGCTCTGTGGGAAGACTATGTACCCAAATATACCACAATCCTATTGAATAATGCTCCTTATAATACTAATAGGCTATACATATATATATTCACAGTGCTGTAAAGTGTAAGAAAAATTTTCAATTTTCTTGAAGTATAAATAAATCTGGATAAGAGTTTTAATTAATGCAAGTGGTCTATTAATTTAATTTACTTAAATTAGCGTGTTTGTGTTATTTAATAACTTAAATTCAAAGTATACCTTTTAGCTGCCTGTTCAATAGTTTCTGAAGGTTCAACTTTTCCTCCAAAGCCATTCCATTTTCCTTTTCCGAATCCTCGTTTTTTTAAACCTAACAGCACCTCAGCTTGTTTTCTAACGAATACCAAGGTTAGCAACTGTTTTTCAAACATTTTCGCCTTTTTACTGTTGGGAAAATTGATTCTCTGTGAGTTAATAATAAAATAACATAAACAGACCCAACTACAACTTACAAAAACAATAAAACTATAACTTCATGAGCCTACATCATGTTTAGAAAGCTAAACTTGGTTACCACTTACCAGAAACGGGTAAAACTAAAAGCCGAAAAAGATATTAGTGGAAAATGACAGTATTATTCAAAGAGATGTCCATAAATTAAAGAATTTGGAGGCTATTAAAAATAATAAAAATTATTATGAATCAATATGGAAAATCTATATAAATACAATAGTACTATGTTGTACGTCCATGTAAGTTGTAACTACTTCGCAGAGTGTGGATGGATCTTCACCAAATTTGGTATGGAGATTCACTGGGTTCATGGTGAGATTCATACAGATTTTCAGTTTTGCGGTTTTTATGGGCGTTTTTTACCACTACCTCACCTTCTCTGAATGGATCTTCACCAAATCTGGTTTGGAGGGTCATTGAGTCGATGTGGAGATACATACAAATTTTCAGTTTTACAATTTGTGTTTTGCGGTTTTTATGGCCATTTTTGCCTTTTTTTACCATTACTTCGCCCCCTGTTGATGGATATTTACCAAATTTGGTATGGAGGTTCATGTGGAGATACTTACAGATTTTCAGTTTTGCGGTTTTTATGGGCGTTTTTGCCTTTTTTTTACCATTACTTCGCCCCCCGTTGATGGATATTTACCAAATTTGGTATGGAGGTTCACGTGGAGATACTTACAGATTTTCAGATTTGTGGTTTTTATGGGCGTTTTTGCCTTTTTTTTTTTTACCATT